TCTTTTCACTCTATTCGATCTACAAGAATCGTTTGGAAAGAAGATATGCTACGTTTAGTAAGAAGGACTGGTATGCATATACAATGGGCAACACAGTGGTGGACCCGCAAAATTCAAATAAAATTAACATTGGAACACCAAAACGATTAATAATACAAATTTAGCAGTCATTCGCGTACTATTAGATGACTACGCTTCTTTTTTAGCCAAAAAAAATATAAGTAAGTTCAAAAATAATTTTTTCCATGATATCTATTTTTTTATACCACAATCTACACTTCATTCCTCTCGACCAATAGAGCCAAACGCGATATTATTGCGACAATTAAGAAAGAAAGAAAATTTGGAAATTAAGGAATTTGAATCCTATGGTTGGGATCTCAGAAATTCCCCTTGTTCCTTCTCTTAACATCCTCTGTAAAGAAATAAGCGAGAAAAATATTCGTTTGAAAGTCGGCTGAATCACGAGTGAAAATATTGGTTTTCTCGCTTATTTCTTTACAGGGGAAGTTAAGAGAAGGAACAAGGGGAATTTCTGAGATCCCAATCATAGGATTCAAATTCCTTAGTTTCTAAATTTTCTTTCTTTCTTAATTGTTGCAATAACATCGCGTTTGGCTCTATTGGTCGAGAGGAATAAAGTGTAGATTGTGGTTTAAAAATTAAAGAGCTGACTTAAAAATATTCTTATTACTATTCTTTTATATTTTTGCGTAGTCCATGGATCTCCTATTTTTTTTTTAACAGAAGAGATTTATGTACTCTCTCCCCCTCCTTCTCTAAACACAAGTTTTTACTCGTTTTACATATGTCTTTAGAAAATTTTAGAATATTTTTAAAAAGTCAAGGAAAGATATTTTGATTTTTCTTATTTCGAATTATACATTATGTATTTTTATGCATCTTAAGATGCGCGTTATTTTTTATTTATCCTCAATATTGTTACGTATATAATTAATAAAAATAAAAATTATATTTTAATTTATTATTTAATTTTTACTAAAAATTTCAAGTTAATTAAAAGTCAATTTTTCAACATCTATTAATTTTTTTCCATATTCTTTTACATCACATATTATTGGTTGTATTATAGATAATAGTAAATTACGTTAACAAGAATCAATTTTTAGATGTTAGTGGTATTACACATTATGACGGGATTTAAAAAATGACAAAAGGGTAACTTCAAACACCGACCCCTTCTCGAGTGATACAACCTGTTGCACAAAGGGAGGATTTAATTTTTTTATGCGCACGATCGAGCTCGTATTACCAGTCACTCATACAATAGGTATCAACCTGTCGAGTGAAGGGGAGTTTTTTTCGCTTTACTCCCATTAGATACGGTCTTGTTCATGGGGGAAGAGCTGTCAAGTGCCGCTTTTTTTCTCATTGACTTTTTATAATCGAAAAAAAACTCCCTGTATCAAAACGCGAGGAACAAGTGCATTACGTTATACCTGGACGAAACAGAGACTGATAGCTTAACATCTTCATTATTTATACAACTTGTTTGTCTTTTTTTTATCTGCTATAAATAGTTTTATAAAAATTTTTAAGTTATTTTGACACATGTCAAATATTTGACATTTGATCAGCACAATACTGAATGCATTAATATTACTAATTTTATTGATTTTTAAAGATATTTCAATATTTCAGTTGTATCAGTGAAGCAATATATAGATAGTGAAGCAGTATATAGATAGAATTGCACAAGGAATCAAAGCAGTATAGTGCAACGTTATCGTATCACATTCAAATCGTTCACGCTAGTTTTCATATCTATCATCAATTTTCATATAATAACTCAATAAATTTGACATGTCTGTTATAAAATATTTTACCATGCAATATCATGCAAATATATGTATATAATTTGTACTAACTGCTGATTGAAGAATTTAATGACATGGACCGCGTTATTGGCATTTTGGAATCACTGGCATTTGATATAGTACTTTATATAGTACTTTGTAACACATTTTTTTCATTTATTGTAGAAAAATCTATCTCATTAAAATATTTAATTTTGTGAAAAATGTTACAAAATAACTTACAATATATTATATATAACGTATAGATATCAGGAAAATTTCTTTTTTTCTTAACTAGAACTTGATTTATCTCTATTTTCTTCTAATATTTTTTTTATTCTATCATATTTTATAGTTAAAAAGTCTTCATTTTATTTTTACAAAATTTATATATACATACATATATGCGGGGACTTTCTATTAAATAAAATATAAGATAAAAAATAAATAATTTTTAATGCATTAAAAAGAAGAAAAGCAAAAGATAAATCTAATTAAGAAAAAGAAATCTTTCTCGATGTATATAAATTTTGAAGATTTTTCTTGCACAAACTTTCACGTAAATCTTTTCTCTTACTCGTTTGCAAAATTTTTTTTCATTATAAAAAATTTATCAAAAAAATAGGTGAATTTTAGAAGATATATATAATATATATATATATAATTCTAGTATTTTCTTGGGACAAAAAACAGGAAATGTGTGTATAACGCGTGGAATTTTCAGGTATCTCAATATTCTAATCCCCATTCTAATGTTGGGAACCCTATTTCGTACCCTTTTTCGACAAACTGGCAAATTCTTTAATATAGATACTTTTTATATAGTGAGTAGAATTTAGAATCTAAAGTAAAATTATCTGAAAATTATTCTAGATAATTTAATAAAAATAATACTGCTTTTTCATCTAAGATGCAGATATAGATAATACATATTTTTATTATCTATATAAAGATAAGATGACGCCAAAATTTCATCTAGATAATCATCTATATAATTTTATTTAGATAACAGCAAACACTGGTTAATAAATACTATTTCTCAGTAAGTAAGTAAATAATATATATTTATTGTTATCGTTAAAGGCACTTGTTATTGATATAAAAATTTCTGTCACAAATTACTTCCAATGAGCATATTTAAATACTGATATTAAACAACTAATCGCTTTCTGTTCTATATATAATCTCAGATATTATGGACGCGTATATACGCAACCTAAGTGGGGAGTTTCGATATAAAAATTCGGATGAAGGCACTTAGGCAAATTTTCGTGTCGCAATGCTCCCCGAAATGTAATCTAGACTGTGTTTAGACTAAAAGCAAGATACAGTATGATAAACACTAGTAGTATCGTTATATTGCAATTAAAATAATACATTAAACGCACTTGGTCTGACGCTTCTGGAAAACGGTCGATCGAATCGACGATCGTTAAGAAACACGTCCGATTCGAATCATGATATATCGAACGGAGAAAGAAACATCGTGGAATACGGTGAACTCGAATAAAATGAAAATAAAACCGGTTGAGTAAAATTAGAGAAAAATTAGAAAATAGGAAAAAATGAATAAAAGAAAAACTCAAAATTGGATAAAACTCAAAACGCGTATCGCTAATCCGGCATAAAAAGCATTAAAAATGTTTCGATTACAAATTTCAAATAGAATCAATGGTCTAGTTTACGCCGATATACTTTGATACGCGTATTACTAACTAATCAATCATGTTCTTTAGAAGAATGGCTGTGATTCTTTAGTACGACGTTTGATATGTGTATCAAATAATCGGTGTAAACTAGGCCAATAACTCTGATCGATACCTAGTTTACATAAAATAAGAAAGTTTCATGTTCATCGTATTCGACGTGTGATGTCAACCTGTCTTCCAGAGCTTCAGCCTAAAAATACGAATAGTGACACAAAGATCAAGTCAACGTTTATATATATATATATATATATATATATATATATATATATATATATATATATATATATATAACACGATCACTTTCTTTTACTATCTTAAAAGAAAAGAAAAAGTAAACGAGTAGTCGAAAATATTCGGCATTCGCACGACAAAGTTGAAACGAAAAGACAACGCAGAAGCGTGCGAATAACGAAATGAAAGTTACCTCTCTTTTCTCCGAGACTTTTCCCAGTTACAAGAAAAGACGGGAGAGAATCGATAATACGAAAAGTTTACATGATGGTTATCCTTAACATACAAAGAATCAGAAATTCACGCAACTGTTTTCATTACAAAACCGCGTACCGATATTAATTTTTCTCACAAACAAAGATTGCAATATAAATATTAGTATATAGGAAATTTCATATCCTCGATCGAAACAAATATTTTCCAATATAATTTTTTCATTTGTTTTATATATTTATTGTCAATAATTATATGAATTTCGATCACGCGGCTATTCACGCATGTCTAGTGATTTGTGCACTGAAAAAAATGTATTGACTTCGAATAAGTATATTTATTTCAATACTGGCCAATGAATTATTTATTCGAAGCTAATAATATTGATTTGATATGAAAAATATTTATTTGATATCAGAAAATCTTTTTCAAAACAAATACAATATTTAATTTATTTCAAATCAATGATTTATTTGGGAGTATTCAAATAAATATTTATTAATTTAGTCGTTTTTTTTTAATGTGAACATTATTGCCTGACAAAGTAACAAAACCAGTTGCCTAAATTTCTTGCGTTTTTCCGTACTTTCTAAGCTGCCACATGTAATAAATTGCATGTATAGATGCAATTTATCTGCTTCACCGAAATCATTTTGATTTGCAGTGATAACTAGGCCGATTTAATTTATGAGAAATATAAAAAATATCAATGTGTTAGCGGCCTTTTTCTCTCGTCATTCCCAGTGCCCTTTAGCTAGAGGGACAGGATGCGAAAGCTCACTTATGTAGATAAAAGATATTTATGTAAATCTGTAAATATCTGTGTATACATATACTTTTCTCGATTTCGTAATCTTTATTATGTATATAATAATGTATAAAATGTAAGAGAAGTTTATAATCTAAGAGGATTTCTCGAAAAATACCAATATAATTGCAATCCGTAACAAGTATATAGACTTTACATATAAAAAAAATATATATTCTATCATCTTTCTTCCATTTTGCATTTATTTTCGGCGGAAACTCATTTAGCCGAAGTTCTAAAAATGTGTTGCCTATTAATAAAATTATGTTCACGTAATATTTCGATTGTAATGGACGGTTATTGTCGAAAAACGACGACCGGCGGGTCGTGTCATGTTAATTAATTATAAAGATAAGGCACTCTACAAAACACATGATCGCTTGTATAAAATTACACCACGAGTGGGATCGCAAACGTTTTTATCATAATCCGTAATGCATCCCGAAATTGGCAACTCATGGAGATTCGTCTTCGATATCTCCGTATATTAAACATTATACAACACGATTGTATATGTCATATTCGAAATATTGACAAACGTCTATTGTCATTAAAAACTTTTTCAATCTTTGTCCAGTAAATCATTATATTGCTCTATCTATAATATTGATTCAAAATAAATGATCTTCAAGCTAGTAATATGAAGAGCTTCGTCAAACATGATTATGACTTATATTCGCAAATTATTATTCGTATCTTTGTATAGTATGAATTATAAATAAAAACCACATATGCTAAGGAAGGAAAACTGAGTAAATTTCTTGTACAAATATAAAGAGTAAAGGTGTGTTACAATAATTACCTATTACTTGACGATAATTTTTAATGCAACCAATTGTCATAAAATAAAAAAGAGTGCAAATTTTTAACACGACAATTAACTCTAATAACGTGTTAATTTATTATAATGGATAAAATTGAGTTCTAGCACAAAAATCTAACATCATAATGCAACAAATTTTCACGATTGCGAATTTTTCTTGCAAAAAATTGCAAACCATCAGTATATTCACAAAATTTAGATATTTGGAAAGGAGAACATTATAAATGCAATCAATCGTAGAGATTAGAGATACATAATAAAAGATTAAATTTAACGAATATGACAGTAATGTTTTTTTACATGCGTTATAAAGAATTAGAAAATTTGTAATTGTATCTTATAATTTACACGCAAAATGATTTACAAAAGCTAACAGAGAAGTTTTCGACCAATTATAAAAATGTCAAATAAATTTTCTGAAAGTACTCGAAACACTTAGAGATGTCGATATATTGTAACATATGGTTACTCTTCATATTTTTGCGATAAATTACATTTTCTTTCTCTTGCATATGTAGCAATTAAAGATAGCAGTTATCGCGATTTATCCTTTGTTATATATAAAATCCATCCTGTGAGAGCACTTCTATTTATAATTCATATTATACATTGCCACAAATCTAATCGCCACTTTTCTCTCTTTTTCTCTTTATCTTTTTCTTCTTCTCAGGCAGTGTACAAGAAAGTATAAACTTATATACAAAACGCTTAGAACTCTCGCACACACATACAGACACACTATCGCACCCTACACCTGAGAAAGAGAGAAAAAGAGAGAGAAAAAAGAATCGGAAGAGAATGGGAATCCTTACACTCTCTTGTATATGTACATATATATGAACACACATATATATATGTATGTATACGTATCTAGATTTGAGCATTACGCGCAATTAAAGGCCACTGTATAGTTTGAAAACTGTTTTGCACAGATATGTGAGCTTAGCTTTCTTATATAAAAAATTATTTTAAATTCATTACTTTCATATATAAAATAAATCGTAATAATCTTTGTGTAAAGATTCCCTGGAGAATCTCATTTCATCGATTGAAGGCGTCGATATTGCACGGTGCTATTTACGGGGCCATTTGTGAGAATCCACATAAATCCGCTGCACGTGCGATCTTGATTCTACAGCCACGTCAGCACGTTGTCGCCTTTGGTCGTGTTAGGATTTATGAGTGATTGTACGTCGTCCAATATATCACTGCTGAAATCCTCACTCAACTGTGACAATAACATACATAAAAATATAACTATATACATGCGCTTAAATTAAAAAATATATTCTTTATTTTTTATACAACATACTAACAAATATGGAAATTTATTTATAATTGTATATGGAAATTATTCATATAAAAATTATATAATTATAATTATGAATCAATTATAAAGAAATAAAAGCAGGTATATAAAATTTTTAGTTACATTTAAACTCTCTCTTCTCTAAAATTATTTAAAAGTTTATCATGACAATAATGAGAATAATAAATAGATACATTAAACTATCACATCTTATTTCAAATGATATTTGTTTATTATCTATAAAAAATATCTGTAGAATTTCTCTAGAATTTTGAGGTACTTACATGAAGAGACGGTAAAAGGTCGTCAGTCGAATCGATGTTATCGCTCAAAGTTGATAAATCCGGCGTCTCCATCGGCGTACCACCGTCTGAAAAAGATCATCAAGACTTAAGTATAACTAAACACAATTTTATACCGTTGTAAATACGTACTTATGTATTTATGGCTTCGGTATAATCGTTTCGTAAGATCAATCAACGCACAGTGCCTTTCTGCAATCGGAACAATCGCGCAAAATAATTATTCATAAATCGTGAATTGAGAATTCTTTGACAACAAAACACACGGACATTTTGTTTTTAGCACATTTTTTTTTTTTTTTTTTTTTTTTTTTTTGACAAATGCGGTGATGGGTGCGATGCGATAGCGGGATACGATTGCGGGAAAAGTCTCACATTCCGAAACACTTTTGCACAAACCGCTCTTACCGCTTGTGCCGTCCATGTTGTCGTCCATATTGCCGAGGAAGTCATCCGGAGTGTGAGGAAGGGAGTATGTTGTGCCAAGTCCTAGGCCGCTGTCGGCACTCTCCTGACGTGCGTGTTGCTCGTTTAACCCCGATAGGAACGGATCCATGGCGGCGTCCGTGTTGTTCTGTCGCAGCAACAGCTCCTGTTGAACAAGACACACACGTGACTTATCAAGAAGACGATTGCAATGTGAGCTGTTACGCGATATTACTCTCCGAGGAATCTTCAAGTACTAACTTGACTACGCATGATCTCTTGCTGCCGCTGCTTGAGGCGTTCACGTTCCATTTGTAGCGACTGAAGACGAATTTTTTGCTGGCAGACCTGCAGGTTCGCGTTGCTCTGAATGACATTGGCGGGCTGCGCTAGCCAGCTCTGCGGCAGCATCGCACCGGATGCCGGAGTTCTCTGAAGATGTGCCGCTGAAGAAACAATACCTTACATCAGAATACACATAAAAAATTCATTCGAAAATTAAAATTATTTCAGAGATCAATGACAATAGTTCAAAGTAGGTCAATTATCGATTCGATTCTGAACAATTGTTTGGATTTCAAATTTTATTCTATCCCGCAAAGGTGAGGAATTCTTGAAGACTTACGGATTCGCGGATCGAACCACGAAGTAGTGCGGGTCTGATGATTGATGAAGTAGATTTCGCCCTCGGCTGTGCGTGCCTGTTCCCATCCGTCCGGCAATGGACCAAGCGAGTTGGGGTTGGATTTGTTCTCGACTGCGGCGGCGGCTACCGCGGCCACATTCGCGGCTGCGGCCGTTTTTCGTGGATCTTCCCATGTCGTGCTGCGTGTCAGGTGACTGCAAAAGAAAATTATGCCGCTCGTTAAACACAATGAGATAAGTAACTGCAAATTATCTCCAGAAGAGGGAAGAGAGAGGAAACAAATTATTTATAATATGCGAAAGATAACTTTCTTTTGAAGATAAAAAAATAAGCGTGTATGTGTATATAATTAAATATAGAATTTTTGACTGAATAAATCACACACACAATATAAAAAAACAATTATTTAATCGTCAAAATAATGAAAAACAAGTCATGTCGTGCTGGGTGTCAGATGATTATAGAATAAAATTATGCCACTCGTTAGACACATCGAGTACAACGAGATAAGTAACTGCAAGTTATCTCCAGAAGAGGGAAGAGAAAGGAAACAAATTAGCGTTTATAAACTAATTGTAAAATGAAATAAACATGTCTACAATATGCGAAAGATAACTTTTCTTTGAAAATAAAAATTATATATATATTGTGCTTAAAAAATTCTGAGTTTTGAAAAAGATTTATAGAAGAGTCAAAAATACTCAGATCTTTATGTATAAACTGCGAGAAGCAGCGAGGATTTAAAAATTTCAAAATAAAACATCGGCAATTTTAATATTACACGATTCATCGAATGTAATATGTTGCGTATTATTATATCAAGATGTTATGGCAAAATGCATAAAACATGTATATGTATATAAACGAATGTGGAACTTTGGATTGAATAAATCACGATATAAGAAAATAATCATAGAAATAATGAAACAGTAATTAAATAAAATTAGTATAAAATTAAAGAAGAGATTAAACAATTTAAAAACTAACACTATAATCTTCGTCAGTCAAAGATATAGAAATATTGATCCAGATAATTTTCTCATTTTTATATAAATATTTATTCCTAAGGTTTCCTCTTTGTTTTTTGTAATAAATAAGAAAATAATATATTTTAAATTCGTTAGTTTTTTATTTAGTTCGAATATCGGCCATAGTTTTGCAAAATTCGATCATTTAAGAGTTATGACCCAGAGAGCACCATGTTCAAAATTAGTGCACAAGACATTATTAAAAAATCCTTAAGACATCTTTCAGAAATCTTATGATACGATATCTCCAAAAAAACATCTTAAAGATGTTTGATGTGTGAATTTGGGACGCTGTCTGCGTGGACAAAAAAATTGGTGCGCAAATTGATCCAGATAAAAATATAATAGCGTATTGCCTTTATCAAAAATGTAAATAATGCGATTGCGTGTGCGAAATTTAGCTTGAATATATTATATCGAATACTTTAATGCTGGCTTCAGGTGCTCGATCTGTGGAAACTGAATACGCGACGCGGCGCGTACAGTTATCCACATATAGTAGGCGCGTGCTAAAAATACTTCCATTCAAAAGACCGAGGCAAAGCAGCGAGGCGACGTGGGTTAGAGCGTAGGTTTTGACGCCCAAAATAAAGGCGATTTTTTAATCTTGCCATCTTTTATTAAACATGTGGAAACGATAGTGCCCGTGAACGTCGAATACGCCTTGGATTAGTTCGAAATAAGGAATTTTTTTTAAATACGTGCTCTATCGTAGAATTCAATAAATTTACACAACACAAGTGATAAATGGTATATTATTCAGGAATAACGAATAATTGTTCAAAAACTTTTCAAGAATGTGCGTGTATCCCTCAAATAAAAGTTTACTCGTAATCTCTCTCTCTATCTTTTACACATACGCGCAGAGAATAAATAAAAATTTATTCGGGCAAATATAAATGATAAAACCTCTTAAAAATAAAAATTTGCAGGCTCAAGTGGTTGCAATTTAAATAAAATTATTTTCTTATTCTGTTAGATGCGTTTAAGGATTAGCTGACCGACATAAAGTACGATATTTCTCCTTTTCGTCGCAAAACATTACAGTTCGGAGGAGGGCAAAAGAACGAAAGGAAGTCTGTTTTGCACAGCACGCGCGTGTGACGTCATTTCGCGATTATATTTCTGCACCCACACATCAAACTATAGACGATACCTGCTGGACGAACACGTACCTGCCTTGCAATGGGCAGGCGTTTGTAAACACTACGCCAATCTGACAGTGGCTCGATTTATTAATCATCCTGAGACTATTCAAACGTTGGCTTATTGTTACGTTTCGAGAAAAAAAGTTCCGATATACATGCATAAAAGTTGGAATTAATTTTTTTCCTAATGAAAATATCGAAGCTCTTCAGATTTTTACATGTTTCATTCGATTATGATATTCATAGAGTATATCTTTGTAGACGTATATCCTCTCAATACTTTTTATAGAAATTTTAGAGAAAAAACTTGCATTTATTGTGAAAAAAACGCTGATATATGCACTCCTTTTTCCAGATCGTTTCTTTTTAATCGCAAAACGATAATTCAGCAATGCATGAATTTCGCGAATCTAATTTGTCTACAATTGCGTGTGCTATTCATTATTTGGATAACTATATTTTCTGAGAGAAAGTAAAGGACAAGCCTGACAATTTTTGAGTTTTATTTCAACATGTTTCCAAATCAGTTTGCGATCAAAGTGGAGCTCGACGAGCAAAAAAAATAATTCTGTCTTCCTTAAATAGGTTCTGGATAAGAGGTTCCGTTTTCGTACAAATTCTCACGTTAATACTATGATATTAGACATTAAAACGCTAAATAAATAATCAAGTAGAGTTTCGGAAAAATAAATAAATCTAAAGCACAACTACTCGAAATAAAGACCTGTCCTCTAAGATAAAGAATGGTCTTTTATATTTTTTCTCCATATAATACTACACATTAGACATTAAACCGCTAAATAAAGAATAAAGAACAAAATAGAGTTTCGGAAAAATAAATAAATCTGAAGCACAGCTACTTCAAAAAAAGACCTGTCCTCTAAGATAAAGAATGGTCTTTTATATTTTTTCTCCATATAATACTACACATCAGACATTAAAACGCTAAATAAAGAATAAAAAACAAAATTGAGTTTCGGAAAAATGAATAAATCTGAAGCACAGATTCTCTAAGATAAAGGACGGAATCTTATTATATTTTTTCTCTAGTCTCGCCAAACGTCCTGCGGCGAGTGGCGCCCAGAAACACCCTGGACAATGGCGACGCGGTTGCGTTTCTCACCCTAAACGTGCCTGAGAGGCTGTGTAGCTCTCGCGTTCTCCACCGCTCCCGATTGGCCGCGGTCCAGCGAAGAGGAAAGGCGCCTCTCGCGGCTGCCGGGCGGGCGAGATCAAGAGAGAAGAGAGAGAGAGAGAGAGAGAGAGGAAAACGAGCGAGGGTGGCAACGGGGGGAAAGCAGGCAGGGAGGACCGTTGAGCGAGCAAGAGAAGAGAACCGAGAAACGCGCGTCGGAGAATTATAAGAGGGTCCCGTGTGTGCGCGCAGACTCTACGGTGTATTTTTACTCCGGACATCACGGCGCCGGACAACTCGTAAATAGACACTCTCGTATCGACTCTCTCTGGTCCGTCCGCCGATTTCCCGCAGCCTCCTTCTCGGAGATCTTCCCCTCGAGCCGGCTCCTTGCGCTCTTAAGGGCGCGTCTCGTCCTCGCGAGAATAACGTGTGCTCGTTTCGTCTTTCCGTTTCGTCTAGGATTTAAGAATTGAGTTCTAGTCAAGGGTTATTTAAGTTTTGTGAAAAGGCTCCAACAAATTGCACCTATTTCTGGCCTTAAATGGGTTCATGTTGTCTTAGGCTCTAATCCCTTTAAGACCTAAATTGGTTAACTCTTAACTTTTAAAGTTTAGGATCAATATAATTTTTCTCTTAAATCTTCTTGAATCACCCTAGGACTTAAGGGGTTAATTATACGACTATGATTACGGTTTATTTGCGTCTATCGCTGTCAGATTGACAGGCCTCCTAACAGATAATTCTTACGAATTTAGTGTCATTAGGTCTAGAATTCTCGCGGATTTGATTAAAAGCTTCAGTACGAAGAATCGAAAATCTATACCAAGAGTCTGTAAAGCTTAATAATTGAGTTTTGCTATTATGGCAATTATTTTCAACATCAATATAGTTAAAAATCAATAATTGAAAATTTATTTAGATCACTTCCGCGACCTTTTCTTTTAGTCTTATCATTGTCGGATGTTTTGCATTTGGATTCTCATTTACGCAACTTCGAGCAATAATAAATAAAATATAAGTGCAAACTAATAGAAAATTATGCCGACGTAGTTAAAAAAGAAAATAAATTATGCCTCGCGATGGCAAAGGTTGTTTATATATATCGACGGCGAATTATATCGACGCTAATTAGCATCGGACAAATTAATCTCTGACGATAACGGATTAATAGAAAGTTTGTTTTGACAGTGACACAAGATAAGTCTTATGACATGCTTGTCGAAATAGATATGTCGCTTCGATATGACCAATTTATATGTATATAAACGCATATAAAATTATCAAAGTTTCGATATTTAATTTATGCTATTTTCAAGAGATAAATGCACAATTGACGTAAACAAAATTGTAAGAAATTTGTTTCGCTTTGTTTAATATGAACGAACAATGTTTTACACTTGACAATTTAAAGTGGCGTTCGATACAAAAGAGGAAATTAACACACGTTAGAAAAACATCGAGACTGACCTTTGGCCACTCCAAAACTCCTAAGTGACAAAGTCTCGTGATTTTGTAATGATTTCGCAAATGCTCAATTTGCATATCTCACACATATGATGATGTATGTATATTTGCCGTCTAATGACTCGCAAATTTTATGATGTTCGCATATTAAGCAAAATCATGTATTATTTCTCGTGAAATGTCAGTTTCGAAAAAACACAATTTTCCAACGTAATTTTAATCACTCTGAAACACAGAGAATGGACAAACTTATCCATCCAGCGTTTCTCTTTACCTGCAAACTGTTGGATCAATTTCGAGTTGATCTTTCGGCAATTATGAAAGTAAATTAGAGAGTGAGAGAAAGAAAAAGAGAAGACAGATATATAGAAATATAACAATATATACACGAGCACAAATCTTATGCACTTAAATAC